TGGGCCGTGCTTGGGGGAAGTAGAGGGGCTTTTGTCCAGCCCCCCTCCAGAGGAACATGCGACCTGCGCACGGATGCTTCGATGCGGTTGGCCCAGGGTAGTGTTATGCTGCATCCCGCGCAAAGACTCATATCAAGCCTCAACACCACTGAGCTAATTATTTCGGTGCCCATTGCCCATGTGATTTTTCTGGACGGTAACTATTTTCTGGGGTATGAGTTGTCGAGTTGCCCCTTCAAACTGCAGGTTTTCATGGATGTGAGCATGATTCCTGATACAGCTGGACCAAGGAGGCTTAGCGAATTTCACTCGATGGACGAGTATGTGACGATCCTCAAAGCCGTGGCTGAATCCTGCAATGATGATTTCAGTAGTTATAACTACCTGCAGGACCACAGATCATAACTACCATGATTCCTGTTATGACTACCTGTAATGATTTGGTGGCTTTTGATCGACCCACCTTTTCAGCAGGTTTGCCAGCATCTAGCCTCTCCCAGCGGCTCACTTGTGGAAGATATTGAATCTTGGAGACCCAGTGCCCATCAAACAAAGAGGCGTTGCAACGGATGTGCTCTGATTGTTTGAGGGCTCTACTTTGACATGTAGCACCGTGGCACCATTATATAAGCAAGCCTTGTTGAGAACAACTGAGAACTAGCAGATGCTATCATGTGATTTCGCTCAGGGGGGGTGAGGCTGCATCTTCCTTGGCCAACAGAAGGCCGCTGCCATTAGTGCTGCGAATTCACCTGCGTGTGGGGGAGAAAAGTGCTGCGAAGGGCAACTAGTGAACTAGTACTTGAAGATGTGCCCTGTGGTGTGGGCCAAGTTGGTGAAGATTCTTGAGGGATGTTGACATGTACCTGCAGATTAGCTGAAACGACGTCTTGTAGGACATGACATGTTTTATGCTCGACCTGATGCATGGTTGCCTTTGCTGCCAGTGTTTGGTTGCGAATTTGCCTGGGGGCGATCAAAAAGGAGGGCTACTAAGGCTTCCTTACTAAGGCTTCCTGGCTCCATTTGTCAGAAACACAGCGGTCCAAATGAACAGCCCGAAAAGAACACACCTTTGTGTTGGAGGTGTCTTGGTTTGGCATCCGGCGAGGTGTTTTGGACTCAAGACAAGGCTTCTCGTTCCCCCGACCGCGCAAAGCGCGAGGCTCCAAGCGGCGTCCGTTTCATTGTCCGGTCGTAGAAGCCGAACATGTCCCTTTGAAAGAACATGGAAACACATGACGCTATAGAGGCAAAACCTCTTCTAAGAACATGGAGTTTGGCAGCCCCAAAAGCTCCAGCATTCCGTAGGGGACATTGAAACCACCTTCCGTCAAGTGCGTTTCAGTGCTTTGCTCTGCTTGTTTGGTGCCACAGTTTGCCCAGGTGCGCGGTGATGGTGGAGCACTGTCACTACACGATGCACGTATGCGGCTAGAGGAGGCTTGGGGAGTGGAGGGAGTCAATGTATAAGCAAGGCACCACGATAGACGAGCATACAGAGGGTGATAGTACGAGCATAAAAAAGCGGGTACCTTTTGGTGTCTGCGGGACCTATTGAACTGCCAGGAGAATTAATGAGCTGTCCCAGAGGTCAAACATGACATGGCTCAATCCACATCCGAGATTGAAGGGATCCAACTCGCAAGCCGGCCTTTTCGATCACCGCAAGCGGTTTCGGCACCAGAGGGGGGAGGCTCGGAATCTCCTGGGACCCCGTGCCGAGGCTGGGGCGGGAGTGCATGGGTTACAGGGTTGCTTGAGGATAGCTGAGGCCTGTGATCTTATGAAATTCAGCATGGTCCACACCACAAGAACGGCGATTTTGTTCCTTTGAACTGGATGTTCATTGGCATAGCAGTGTCTACCGACGCTTTCAGCGAGACCTGGTGTGTTTCCTGGCGATGTTTTTCGCATAACAACTCGCATCCCGCGTGACGTTGGAGGCCGAGCGTTATGGCGCCTTCTCAGGCGGAGAAGGACTTGAAGTGGGGATGGCCCGGGGTTTTTGGGGACACCAAACACGCGCGGAGGGGACCGGAGCGTCAGAGCCCTGTGGATCTGACGTTCGCCTCCACGAGCTGAGCTTGGCATCCGGGAGCATAGATACCCTCCCTGCAACAAACATTGGGAGTAGACAACCCCCTGTTTGCAGAGGGGAATTGCTTTTCCAGGCACTGCGCACTGCCATGATTGTTGGAGAGAGGGTAGCTTGTGAGACCCTGTGCGTTGGCCCAGCATAGGTTCACCCATCCGGGATTGAGATGAGTCACTTGGCAACCTCGAATCCCTTGCGCCAAGGTCAGCCCTCATGGCAAAGGACCCACCGGCGGATTTTCGTGTGGACCACTCACCGAAAGTGCTTTTGAGCTCGCTTTGACTAACATCAACACGGCAGTTGTCCGTGCAGAAATCAACACGGCTGCAGTCCGCCTTTGGGAACTGGCCGCTCTTTTGGGACACCTTCCCCCCCACTTCCAGGAGACTGAGAGATGGCTGGATGCAGTGGCCAAAGCAGTCAAAGAAGGCCCGGACACTGAGCTTGATTGGCCGCAAAGTCGATGGCCCCGCAGTGATAAGCAGGTGAGTTGCTTCTGAAGTCCTTTTCGGGTTTACTTGGTCATTTTTTAAATACCATGTCACTAGTCACCTTCGTGCTCCATCCCAGACATCTTTGCGAGCCAAACACTGTCTCCATTTCGGGTGGTTTCCCCGGGTCAAAAAGCATTCTTTTCATCCACTTGGTTGGAACGGCCCAAAAGGTGGGGTGACACCTGGTGACTCGGCTGCCCTTGGTCTTCCACCTGGGCCGCTCTCCGAGCTCTCCGGCGCCAGGCTGGGATGGTCTGCAGATCCAACAGGCCGTGGCCGACGTGGTGGCCGAGGACCCCGTGGGCTGCGCGCGCTTCATGGAGACGACGCATCGCCCCACACAGGCGGTGCCCGTTGGTGCATGGGGGGGGAGGTCGGCTGAAGGGGAGTGTGTGGGTTTGGGTACCCAGCAACTGGTGGCGAACTCTAGGATGAAGTGAGCTACTCCTGCTCAAGTCCAGAGCGGACTCGACTCCAGCTTTCCCTGTGCAGAAGCGTAATGACGCAACGATAATCTTACATAATAAGTTGACTATCGTCATCAGGGTTGTCATCCAGGTGGCAACTTGTTTTGATGGATCATCATTGGCAGGGGAAGAGTGTGAAAACAGGAGTTCAAAATATAAATCAGGAGTTAGTTAATTCTTTTTCCGGTGTCCCTTCGTAGAAGAATTAAATCGGGAGTGAATTGTATGATATGGTTATGATGTGGTGTGGGATGTGTGGAATTAACTTCTGTTTTCATTCTTTTTGGAAGGTGTCTTTTCAGAAATCTGGCTTGAAGACGTGCTAGAAAAGAATTAAACCAGGAGTTAATTATGTTAGTGTGGGTGTGTGTGCGTTGTCCTTGCGGGACTGCGTGGTTCTGCCAGGCTAGCCTTTGTTTGTTTCCTTTGTTGCCTTAAGGAGGGCTAGCCTTTGTTTCTTTCCTTGGTTGCCTTAAGGAAGAACTAACTCCCTGTTTAATTCCTTCCAAACCAGGTTCTGCCAGGCTAGCCAGAAAAGAATTAAACCAGCAGTATTGATACAGACAAATACCTGTGGAGGACCTAGTACCTAAAGTTTTAAACCCGGAGGAATTAATTTCAAACTCCTCTTTCTACGCCTTTTCATTGGCAGGCGATGGGGGTGATAACAATGGATGATGAAGCCGAGGAGTGGGAACAGAGTGTGAGGATCTCAGTTTGATCTCCACCGTTACTTCATGTGCGAACACTACTTTCCTCTAGAGTCCTGTGATCTGCAGCCCCTCGGCCCCCCGTGGGGCAGTCACGCGCCCGTGGGGCAGTTACCGCGCCCGGGGGTCTAGACTTCGACGGTTTCGTGCGTCACTTGGGGATGTCCAAGGTGCACTACCATGACAAGATGATCCAGGGAGCCTTCAGCGCGATGTGGAGCACCTATCCGCGTGGCCTCCTAGGGTGTTTGTCCACATTCCCCGGCTTGGGAATAGAGGTGTCCGCAGCGGACAGCAGGAGGCTTATGCCATAGCTTGCTGAGATTAGTTGAATGATGAAAAACGAGTAGGCAGCCTTCGGGAAGCCATGAGGTGTCCATAGCGGACATGAGTAGCCCGCCATTTTGGCTTGGATGGTTGCCGGAGAATGTATCGCAGGGATTTCTTCGTCCAGAAGCTTGTTGGGATGGTTCACTACAGGGTGATGTATCGATAAAAGCAGTATCACCTGTTGATACTCTTCTTCAAGCACATCCACGACATCCGTGAAATCCATCTTAATGCCTCCAGGACTACGAAAGCCGTCCGAGTCTGAGGCGAATTCCCCAGGAAGATCCCTGGGCAGACAACGTGCCCAAAGTGGACTGTGAAGTCGTTTGCCCAGGCAGTGCAGTCCGTTGACCTGCGAGGTTTGGATGGGTAAGGAGCCGGGTTCAAACACCCCCAACACATTTCGTTTACCTTCATGCTGCTGTTTCGTCCTGGGTAGAAGCTACATCTTTAGGCCTCTAGACCCCTAGACCTCACACTCTAGAGCCACTATATATTTCTTAATCTCATCGAATGGATCTCAAGACCTCTCGACCTCCTCCTGCGAAGGTGTCGTGAAGCTCTGAAGGCATTCATTTGCAACACGTTCGCTGCTTAAACAAGAGCCAAGAGCCACCCAACAAGATCCAACAAACCACTCGCCCCGTCCTTCCTCTCGCCGTCCTACGCTACCGGGGTGTCTTCCTCTCGGCCTGCCAGGTCAAGGAGTGGTGATGACCTCCTCCGGACTGGCCTTGAGGGGTGAGCCGGTCGAGGGCCTCTGAAGCACTGCGTGCGCTGGCGCGCGTGGGGGGGCATGGCCCACGCGTTTGGGGGCGAACTATGGGGCACCCTGTGGCGTGGAGAGGGGGAATTAGGGGGGATGGCAGGCAGAATGGCTGAAGCGAAAGTCCCGGGCACATTGCAGGGGGTGGTTTTGCCATGTTTCGCCAACTGGATTTATCTCCTCTAGCCACTTCGCTGCTCCAATGATCCAGATGATCTTCTGGATTGGGAGCAGCTTGACCTCCAAAGGCATCCCACATAGGCTAGCCGGATCTCCAGCCGATGATAGCCCAAGCGAGATCTCGTCTTCCGAGCGCACGCCGCGTGAGACAAAAGGTGCGCGAGAGTGCAGCGTCCACGTGCCTCACGTGCGTCCGAGCTGAGAGGGTGGAGTTCGAGCGGAAAGGGTGTTCCTACACCACCAAATCTTTCACCTGGTGACCCATTTGGATTCAGAATGGATCCATTTGGTGCATTCCTCTCCCCCAGCAATGAGAAGAATGACCCCCCTGGTGCCTGCGACCCTGCCTTTCTGGCTGATCTTTCAAGCTTGGCGGTTAGCCCCTGGACACGTGGGGAGCATGGTGCGCCATGTCGACCAGGTGGAATGCCGGATGCCTGGCAAGGATGAGTTTGGGATGGTTTGGGTGATTCTCGCCTTGTTCTTGAAGGTCATGTCATCTTCTTTTCCCGGGATCGTGCGGTTTGATGGGATCTGCGGAGGACACCGCTCCGCGTGTCACCCCAAAGTTGAGCACCAGAGATCCGTGCCAAACCCTCAAGTCCCAAAACCCTTCTTGGGGCATACCGGCATACCCATGACTTGCTCCATGCTCCGTGGGCATAACCAGCAGCCTGGACCGAAGTTCTCTTCGACCATCAGACGTCTCAAACGTGCTCGTGAGCCTTTGGGTGGTGCTCCTAAGAGCGCAAAAAAGCATAGACTTGCCTCCAGAAACGGCGCCACGGGTAGCTCATTGCCCAGCACCGAAGTGGTCGGACCGTGGCGCTCGGATCCGGGTCGCCCGTCGCTGAGGAAGGATGCCTCGGGCAAGTGGGTGAACCAGCGCCTCGGCCGCACGACCGTGGGGTCGGACCGTGGCTCCGACTTTACGGGTGGAGAGGAGCTTTGGGCCGTGAGCCTGGGTGGATTCCATCAGCTGGAGATGGGACGAAGTTCCCTCCAATTTCTGAAGAAGTCTTTGGAGGTTGTGACAAGAAGGCTTTGAGGCAACCCCTCCAAATCAAAGGCCTCGTTTTACTGGGCTCTATTTTCTGCAAAACTGATAGCAAAATTCGACCTCCAAAAACTTGTCGTGGAAATGGTGGAAAGCCCGACTTTACTCCGTAAAGGACGTCTTTTAGTTCGGCAACTATAAGAAGTAAAATACTTTTTTACTTAGTGAAAGACGTCTTTTACTTGGCAAATGGTAAAAGTAAAAGACGTCTTTTACTTTATGCATATATGGTGCACATATACATGGCACGATGATTGTGATTCAACATGCTGCACCAATGGCTTCCAGGAGCGTTTTGCTCTACTTTCCGTTTCCGTTTCGCGCGAACATCGCACAGACAAAATATTTGTGGGAACCAAGCACATGCATATCATATAAGTGGCACCCAGGCTGCTAGATCTTTTAATATGAAGCAAGGTCGATGCGTTACAACACAGACAACGCATGTGGCCGAAATTCGCCGTTTCTGGCCCGGGCATGGGACCGTGACTCTACCGTGACTCTCGCGTGACTCCCACCTAAACCACGAAGTGTTTGACGTCCTTTACTTAGTAAAGGACGTCAACAACTTCGCCATGGACATCATTGGGCGTGACTCTAGCGCGACTCTATAGCATGAGACCTGCAAGCTTCTAATGCGATTTGACGATGAACTGTCATCGGCTTGAACAATGCACGCGTCCAATTGCAAGCAGCAAACATGACTCCCACGTAGCCACGTATATCATGGCAATGTAATTGGTCAATTGAGCAAACAACGTGCGCAAAAAAAAAACAATACACCAAGAAAAGATTGGCACGCGTGGACTTGCATGGCTCCGCTAAAAGTGAGCGTATGGGTACCATGTCTCCGGTATGCATGTATAAGGACCATCGAACCCAAAAGAATGTTCCATGGAAATGACCTTAATGCCCAAAGACATTTGTGTGGAAGTGGTGACCTTAATGCCCAAAGAATCTTCCGTGGAAATGGTGACTTGAAAGTTGTTGAAGGTCAAAGAAAATGTGACCTCGTAAAACTGGGTCGTTTACAGCAGGACCTCGTAAAACTGGTCCTTTTGAGGTGGAGGGAACCGCTTCTAAATATTAGAGTAAATGGTCGAACCGTGTCTTAATGGCTGAGAGTGGGAATGGACTGATGAAATCCACGTGGATTTCGAGTGGCTGGTTTTGGTTTTGGATTTGCCCAGCCGAAGGGGGGGGATCCGATGAAGAGTGACACTCCGGCACCATTCTTCCTTAGACCACTCAAAAACTTTGCATCATGGAAGTTTGCTCAAGTTTCCGTGGACCGAGGTACCACTTGTTGCAAGAGGTTGGCAGTGGAACCTTCTGCAAGGCGGGTATTGCGGGTGTTGGGGTTTTGGAACCAAGGAGATCAAACCCCGTTTTTTCGATGATGCTCTTGGCGTGTGTAGTTTGACATCTCCACCACCAGTTACTGTAGCTGGTGCTGCTTGCTGGGACTTCTGGGAACATGCGCGCGGCCATGATGGCCATCGGTGGTTCTCATCCTACTAACGAGGTGAACTTCTGCTGATCGCTAATAACGAGGTGAAGATTTTTTGGTACGGTAGGGGGAATTTTAAACCCAGAACGACCAAAGATGAGACCAACAAACCTCTTCTCTTCACGCCTGTGCGGTTCTTCTCTTCGCGGTACACGAGGGGGAAAGGGTGACACACAATGACACACAATGACACACAATGACACACACACACACAATTAACCAACATGAAACCAGGACCCTCCTGTCGGGGTATCTTTTTGTGGCCCCTTAGCTGTGATTCGGGGTGTCCATTAACCACCCAACCTGGACCATCGGTCTGACCTGAGCGATGGGACGGCAGGTGCGCCTGGCGGAGAGCGCTGCAGGGATCCATGCGGTGAAGCGCTTCCCGCGCATGGCGCCTGGGACGCTGGGAGATGGTGATGTAGACCCTGATGATATTTCAACCTCTCAGGCCTGAAGAGGGTCTGATATATAATCCAAAGAACAATCATGGATTCGAGGTCTTATTAATCAAGAGTCTGCATTGGGGTGTGGTGCTGGTTCTCGCTTTTGGGCGCGTTTGAGAAGTTGCTGAGACGGAGTTGACGATGATGACCAGTGCTTGGAGGGGAGGGTTTTACGGTTGGGCGAATGTGGTGGGGTGTGTGCAGCTGTAGGGCTTAAGAAAGCCACTGCCAGCGATGTTGCTGGCAGCTGTGCGCCAGGGCAAGAGTGGTAGGGTATATATATATATTACTGTATAATAGTTATGTTTAGTTAGACCTTAGACGGATGGTTTTCAGCGGGCACTCAATTTTTTGCTGTCCCCATAGACCCAGGATGATCCAGGGAACCTCGCCCCCTTCGAGGCAGAAGCACCATCTTCGAGGCAGAAGACCCTGAAAACCTCAGATGGGGAATCGCAGCTTTCGTCGAAAAGAGCTGAGGTGATGCAGCGGCGCATGGTGGCGAAATTTGATGCCGAAGGCGCTTCAATGGTGCCATTCCAACAATGCATCGAGCAGGAGATACAGATCCTGGAGAGGAGAATGTGCCAGTGTGCACGTTAGTGCTTTGCTGAGAAGAAGTGTTTGGTGCTGGAGTTTTGACTAAAACTTGCTGGAGTGGAAGGCTGGTCATCCGATGGCAACCGTTTGGAGAAGTATGCGGTCATGACTATGATCGCATCATGAAACCCACGTTCACCCGAATTTTTGCAACCGCATTCTCGACGTTTTCTTTCCTATTTTGTTCCTGGTTTGGGGTGAGCTGTGCCAGGATACATCACCCGCAGATTGTGGAACTTCAAGAGGCAGATTTCGGAAGGGGACGAGAGGATTCGATGGAAAGGGACGACGTGTTCAGCTCAGCTTGTCATTTGCATCCTCCAAGTTCCAGCTCTGCTGGAAAAAACGTGTAGGTGTTGGCTCACCAGAAATAGCATGTTCTGGCTGCCCCATTGTTTGGAAACCACCCACACCGCCACAAATGTAGGAATGCCGGGCCTCTCGACTGCGATCTCTCTCTCTCTCTCTCTCTGGCAGTCCCTCACGGCTTCTCTTCTCCGGCCGGCCGCAGGTCATCAACGACCCCAAGGACGATAACTTGTATTTGATCTTTGAGGGCTTGCCTGGATGCCAACTAATGGATTGGAGTGAAAGGAGCTGCACGTATTCGGCCAGACCATCAGTGAACTTGCGCCTCGGGCTACGGTCACAGTCCGACGTACTGAAGTGCCGAGACCTGGGGCGCCCTGTCTGGGGCGTCGGATCGGAAGGCTTCTACAATCCCTTCCCTGGAATTGATCTCGGCAAGCCTCCTTCTGACTGAAGATCGTCCAGCCGGGTGTGTTTCATACAAGGATTTCCCTCCCAAACAGTTGCAGCGGAAGAGAGACTTCATCCATTTCTTGGGATTCTTAGGTTGAGACCACCCTATCCTTCCTGCACTTCGTGCTTGACAGCCGCAGGTTTGGGAGTGCTGTCGTTGACAGCCGGCGGGACACTGTTGGCGCTGCGAGCACTCTGGTCTTTCGGGAGGTGCTGGCGAAGCACTTTGCGCAGCAGCTGGCGGAGGGCATTTGCTACATGCACTCACTAGGCCGTCTCGGGCGTGTAGGTCGGATGGGGTCGCACCAGTGCGAAGGAGGTGTAGTCGGAGCCCATTTCAGATGAGGTAGTCACGTCCTGTGGCTGTGGATGTCCTCGATGTCCTGCACTGTGCCATGATCCCAACACATTGCACAGTATGCGCAGTCCAAAACGTGAATGTTTCTTCAACATGTCCCCAGTTGCGACTCTTCTAGCACCTTACTTCTGCGCTTTCTTCATTTGGAGTCTGCGGAGTTTCCACCGGCTTGGGGCCCCAGGTGTGATCCACAAAGACCTGAAACCCGATAACTTGGACGCCTGGCTCATCCTGGCTCCGCACGCGGAGGAAGAAGAAGGGCGTAAAGCTAGGAAGCTTCCTTCGAGTCCTCGAGTCTTCGATCTTGCTCCCGCCTTTTTTTTAAAGATCTTTTTGGGGCCTAGAATGGGAGGGATCTTGGGTCATTTTGTGTTTTTGCAGATCTGGGACTTATTTTACAAAACGCGGAATCTGATTTCAACACTGGGGTCTTTATTGCTGGTTCCGGCCAGGCCAGTCCGGCCAGGCCTGGATGTCTGGCTTGGCACGGACTGAGGGGTGTTTTCCCGGGCTTTGGTGCCGGGCTTTGGTGCCTTTCAACCGGTGAACATCCGATGAACCAAGGTCCTCTCCAAGCAGGTCCCCGATGATCCAGCGCTCCTGTGCACCCTCGACGTGGCTGAGTGGCCGAAACTCACGGTGATGGGCGACAAAGAGGAGGGGTCGAAGGTGGGCGACGTTAGGGAGCAACTGATAGGGAACAACACGTGGGCCAAAATGGTTGGGACGGCATATGTGGCGGGCACTTGGGAGGTGGTGAAGTTGAATTGGACTGCAGACCTGACCTTTGTGCTCTTTATTTGCCAGACCTTTTGATAGGTGAACTGTGAAGATCTTGTGGTGAAAATCGCCGACTTCAATTGTGCAGAAGAATGTCAAGAACCCGACTTCCTGATCTATGACGCACAAGGCGGAGCATTCGGCAAGAGCGCTGTTGGGGAGGTGGGAGGTGATGTTTTTTTATTTTTCTGAAGCCGATCCCATCGGCACCAATCCTTTTCGCCCAAGAAAACTCACCATGATGATGTTCTACACAAGTTTCTACACAGTTCTACATCTGCAAGGCTTCGCGAGGTGATCCCTCCATATTCATCCAAGTCCAAGACGTTTTTGGACTATAATAACCTCGGGCGCACTTGCCCGACCCAGCAGCGACTAGTAGCACATGAAAGACGGCCACTTTGAAGGGAACTTGGACTTCAATGGGCGGGTGACAGTGGCATGCAGTGGCCGTAGTCTAGGACATGAGCTACCAATGGAGCTTCCTTGTTTCTTCATGGCAGGAGGAGGGTGCTTCCAAAGCTCCGTGGGATTGCTTGATATTGTCCAGGATCTCCCCCCTACAGCCTGTACCTGTCGCGACAATGCTGAACTCGTGCGACGAACCAGGCACCCAAAGCTTTACGCCGCCCGAGTGCTTCAAGAAGGACGAGGAGGGCGTGAACATCAAGGGCAAGCCCCGGGACATGTGCCCTGGGATGCCGTCACACCCATGTAGGAGCGTGGAGAGGGGAGAGAAAGACCCCCCAACTAGCATGATGCAGCTTGGTGGTTCACAGAGGGAAGCCATCAAAGGAGAAATTCATGCATTTCCAAGTGCGTTCTCGACAGATGTTTGTCCTTTGTCTGTCAGGTGTTTTGCACAGAGGGGTGCGCCCTTTTGTTCTTGTTTTTGTTGGAATTTGGTTCCTCCAGAAGCTGGTTTCCATCAGCATACCGACATGCAGCCAGCTCTTCTCCAGTTTCCGCCCTTGCCATTGTTGCTTCAGTATTCTTTCTTTCTTTCTTTCTTTCTTTTTCACAGAGGTTGTTTGCCAGCCAGCTGATTTAGGGTGCTCGATGGAAAACTACTTGGTGTTCTTCCTACCGAACCCCCAAGCTCCCTTCACCAAGCACGGGGACCACTCCAGACCCACAGCCGATGAAAACCGCGCCAAGGTGGTCCTTAGGTTGCGTCTTGTTCGTTCTGGTCTATGGTCGCTGCCCCTTCTCGGCGGAAAGCAACCTTCTCCTGCAGCTGGACATCATGCAGTGCGAGCCGCCGGGCGCAGAAGATGGAGGAACCCCCCAAGTGAACCCGAGCAAAGCTTGTGCCCAAAGCGGGCCCCAAATAACGCACTGAATGGTTGAAATCGCTCAACCCCAATGGTGCCCTGAATTTCCATCCTCACATTTCGGGTGAGAGCGCCCAGAACGGTTTCGGGTTTCGGTGTGCACGTGCTGAGCCGGCAGCCGGCGGGACTTTGCAGCTGGTAGGGTCCCCCACTGGCACGGCTCCATGATGGTTCTTCTTTTGTACTCTATTCTTTCTTGGTTGGATCGTTATAGGTCCATGCAGTGCCTTCCAAATTGGCGATTCTTCGAATTGCCTGAGAGAGACCTTAAGAGTGTGATAGCACTCTAAGTTCTCGACAACCCCCGCAGTGCGCGGATTTGGCACCTGAACCCTTTCCTGGGGATTTGGATTTGGTGGAATTTCCGGTCGAGTTCCGAGGCTCGTGATGCCCGAGGGCGGGCCATGGCTGTCTGCTGAATACTTGCAGCTGCTTCGCTCGCTGCTGAGCTGCTCGGCACCGGGACCTGTCCGGCGGAGGAGTTCGGAGACCCCTGCTGAACGGGCATGTGTGGCCATGGCCTTCGGGGCATGGCGGCATGGCTTGGTGTGAGACATCCTGGCCCTGAGCTTCCAGGGCCATTCAAACGAATGGTTGGCCTGGTGTAGTCTTAAAGCCCGTCGGTAAAACCACAGCTGTTCGGGATGAAGACCCCCAAGTGAATGGTGGGCCAGGAATCCAGCCAGAGAACTGGAGAACTGAGTCCTGGGACTGCAGGTGCACCTCACAAGTTCTCTCTCTCTCTCTCTCTGTCATTGCTCCATATCTTATATCGCTATGTCATATGTATAGCTACATGCCAGCACTCTCAGGCCTTTGGGTAGCTGTTCTGAACCAGACCTTCACTTCGGGGCGGCCGTTTGGGTCACGAAGCCTCACCGCCGGCAGAGCCGCAGGTGCCGAGGCCGACGCGCGGCCCAGCGCGCAAGCGATCCTGCAGAGTGGCTGGTTGGTGGAAGGCACCCAGTGAGGCGGAGAGAACCAAACGGAAGAACGCGGAGAACACGTGCATGATGCATGATCTGTCAAAAAAGGGCTTGACAGCTTCTAGATTCTAGATCGTCGATGTTTCCTTGTTCTTTTGTGCTTCTTACAGCGCAGAACACCTGACACCCTAGGATTTGTGTCCGACCATCTCCAGAAGGGTGGCCATTTCCAAACTTTTTCTTCGGAAACACGCCCGAACGTGCTGCCGATGTGCCGCCCCCGGAGGGCCTGCCGCGGAGCGCTGCCTGATGTGCGGAGTGGGGGGTCACTCTTGGCTCGGGGGTCTGATAGCCTCACCTGCAGACCACTCCAATGTGCTCCATCGAACCTCGAGATTCCATAGCAGACTGAAGTCATGTTTCCTTCATGTAGTATGGAGGACTTCTTGGACTTCTTAGCTTGCCACAAGTTTGAGGACAATAGGGACGGTGAAAAGATCCGGCCGGGTTCGCCATGGTGCTTCTCCAGGTGAGTACGGCAATCACAGAAGTTTGAGACTAGAAAGGAACCTACCTGGAAAGGCACAAATTGGTCAATGGCCGCCCGCTTCATCAGTTACTGTAGATTTGCAGCAGTTTCTTTGCTTGGCCACTAACTTTCCAACTCCAGCAAGGTGACGTGGGAAGTTTAGGGAGCCCCGCCCAGCTTCAGACCCCTCATGCCTCGAGTGCCGCTGAGAGGACCTTAGTACGCTCGTCGTCGCTTTGGCATTAGATGCAGGTTTCTGGATGAGAGCCTCGAAGCCCTGAAAGCTCCAATTCGCTGATGAATTCCGAATTGGCCGGCCATTCTTCAGTCGGCACCTGAATTCCAATGACCGGCTTCCATCCACACCTCGAAGTCTCACGTTGTGCAGTAGGTTGCATCACTGGCACCGTCCTGGGCGGCCTGGTGACAAAGCTGCTTTCAGGTGGATGCACCACAGACCTGGGGTGAATGAAGATGAGCCCGGATGAGCCCCATTTTTTCAGGTGAACGTGTGTTCTATCAAGTTTATTAGTTTTTGTGATGTGTGCAGGGCACGATTGCGAGCTATGATGGTTTGCTTATGTTTGCTTCATGTTCTAGCTGCTGAGTAGGGGATGAGATTCAACCTCACTCTGGTTGAGGAGATGCTGAATTTTTCACGTTTCTGTTCTTGGCGTGAAATTTTCTCCCCCAACCTCCCTGGCCTTTCACGCCCCTTCTACTTCTCCGGACTGCGGTCATTTTCGACGCCCCTGTTGATGCGTGTCCATGTGCCGCATGCGCTCTTCGACGGGAGCGCCAATTTCCATGATGCCCACGGTGCCATGGAGGCCAGCCGTGTAGGGCAGTGGGGGAGGAGAGTCATGCCATGGTGTTGGTGCCTGGGTGGAGGCGATTTTATTTTTCTCTTGGAAGAGGGGAGCTTTGTTTCAAGCAAAGCTTTTGTTCATTTTTGGCCGTCCAGTTTCATTTTCATGTTTGTTCTTGTCTCTTCTTCTTGTGATGGGCAGAGGCAGAGTGGAAGGCGAGCGGGGCATCTATAGAGACATCATGAGACATTCGTATGGTGTCTCTTGTGACTCTTGCAATGTTTGCTGATCCGAAGCCTATTTTATGTATAGCTTAGCTTAATAGCTTTCACACTTTTTGTTTTTCCTAGGCACTAAGAGCGACACTAAGAACCGAATGCCGGCATCAAACCCTCCTCTTTGTTGCAGGCGATGTGTCCCCAGCCAAGCCCCGCCAGGAGAGGACGAGCATGGAGAACGAGCCGGCAGAACCGGCAGAACCGGGACCGGTGCTTTGGTGGCGGTTTCGTGGGCCACCGTGGAGTACAAAGGAGTTTCCCTTCCAAAAAGAGCCAACAAAGAACATGGAAAAGTGAGTTGCCTCTGCGAAAGGATGCTTCATTTGTGCAGGCTTTGCTTGAGTTTTCTTTTTCCAAACTATGTTTCCACAGCAAATGGCTCATTTCGCTGTAGTTGTGGGGTAGCCAGCTGCCTCCCTGACACGTTTTGTAGGACCTGATGGGTGGCCCTTGGTAGCAAGACACAACTCCCCGGCCTTGTCAAAAAGATCTTGATATTGAAAGGCTCAGCTCTTTGGTCGGCCGCAGATGGCGGACACGTGAAGTCATGTGTGTTTACTCATGCTGATGCTCATCTGGTGGGCCCCAAGGTGTCGCCCCGTACACCGCCCGTCTTTGGACGGCCAAGCCGACGCACCGGATGCTCCCTTCGCCTGCTCCACCCTCGGGGGCTCCACCACCCTCCTGCCGAGCTGAAGAGGTGGACCGTGTGGACACCGTGCAGCTGGAAGCGCCACCGGCACCGGAGTGGGCCGCGGCGGATGCTGAGGGGCCTGAGTCGCAGCCAGAGGTGGGGTTTTGAGCTGGGGTGAGCAGTCGTTTTTGGAGAGAGCACGCGCGGAATTCCTCCCAAAACAGTCATTTCGCTTTTACCTGATGAAGTCGCTCAACTCCAGCTATCCGTTAATGGATAAAACGTGTTCTTGGGAGGACGTCCGCATCGCCCCAAGTGGAGGATGCATACCAAAGCTTGTACTTCACCTCCCTTTCGTTGTAGATTTTGAGGTGTAGATATAATATTATGTTTCCTCATCTTTAGCAAAGGGGAATCCTCCGATGCAACTTATGAATCACAACCTTTTGTCACAACCACTGGGGTTGACCTTTCGCACTTGCAGGACGTGGCCGCGCCCGTGTCGCCCGCGTTGTCCGCGTCGCCGGTGTTGCCGGAGCCCCCCCGCAGCCGTGCCGCGGCAGCGGGCGGCGACCGGCGGAGCCGCGGCAGAGGGCGATGGAGGCGATCGCGAGGTGGACGTGGCGCGGAAGGCCAAGTCCTCGGAGGAGGCGCGGTACAGGGGTGGTGCTTTGTTCAAAGCCAGGTGAATTCCAGGTGCCAAATTTGATAGAGCCACGGTGTATCGGTTTGGGAGATCGCCCTCCTCGGAGAGGCCGGGATGCTGGGGATGCGATCGCACCCACAGACTTGAGGTTGATGGAAGGCAAGCGAAGAAGGCGAGGAATAAGGCAAGGACAAGCTCTTCATGCAGAGAAACCTGCTGATTGTGAACATAACGAAGAATATTTTACATGATCTATATTTGGTGCGCTTGTAGTTGCTTTGGACCTCAAGTCTTGACGTCTGCCGTGCTCACCACACTGCTAGGGGGTGAAAAAGAAGAAGAAGGTCGCCTATGGAGCCACGGAGGAACCAGAGGAAGAAGCTGAGGAAGATGTGAGACCAAACGTCTGGATCCTGAGGTGGTTGAGGGGATGTGGTGTGGGGGGCCGGGATCCAGCAGTTTGCTTCATGGTCAGTTCAACTGTAGTTTTGTTGTGGAAACACGTGGCATCTGAATTGCTCGTCCCAAAAGTCTGTTTTCGGCGGCTCGACACCGGAGATTTGCCTCGGTCGCATGAGGTCATCGGGTGTCCCTCGGAAGCGATCAAAGTGGAAATTGTGGCTGATGGAGTTCAGGGTCCTATCAGCGATCGACCAGCCAGGAGGGAGACAGATGGGAATCAGGTCTCGGAGGTCGGAGAGCAGGTCCATGTCAATGGAACGTGTTGCTGTTGAAATCCGGTGAGAAGTCATTTGATGCGATGTCGAAGCACCTGAGGAGTTGAAGTCAGGATTGCAGGCTCCATTCTTGTCCCCAGTTTCCTCTACAGCCGATGTGTATAGTTCCCTTAGATTCCACGTCCGTTCTAGTTGTTGGGAGGAGTTTGGGGTTTGTACTACCGCCGTCTGCAGGATGCCTCCATACTTGCCGTTCCACTTTCGGCTGGATGCACCGTGGCTTTAACGGTAGATGACAACCCAGCAGATCACAACTGAGTTAACATGAGTTAACATGCGACTGGTGCCCTGCCCATTGTTTTCAGTGTTTCTGCTTCTGCCACAGTTTCTGAGTTCTCTCAGCTTGGCACAGAGCCAAAGTGCAAAAACAGGGATGGACAAGACACATCAGATACTATAAGATCATATACTATAAGATCATATATGAGTTAACATTCTTCCAGGTCTCTGCGATCAAGATTGGCAAGTCCTTCCCAGAGGGCTGGCGGCATATCCTGAAAGCAAAGCTGGAGATGGAGTGGCGATATTGTCGAAGCTCGGAACTGAACTTGCTCCCAGTAGCGATGCCAGGAGCCCCTAGTAGCTTCTTGCTCTGTTCGTAGTAAGGCCAGGAGCCCCTAGTAGCCTGGGATGCGCCCCGTTTTTTACGGGAACTTCTGGGAGCGCTTCACCTGCTGCACACGCCAAGTGGGGCTTGTAATGGCAAGTGGTCTTCGTCATATTTGCGGCATGTCCAAGGAACTGAGGCGTCGTTGGGAGCACCTGTTCTGGGTGTAAAATTGCAATGCGACGTGAGTTGGGGTCAGCTGAGTCAGCTGGGACAGGTGTGGTCCTGGACTCCACGTGGATCAGAAGTATCGGCGTTTCAATAGTCGAAGGACCCGCTGGATGAAGATGCTTATTTATTCAAATGGATCTGCGTTCGGCTTTTTACATCTTTTTGACTTTCTTCATGCTTTAAGCTGCTTAACTCTCAAAAGAAAGATTGTCTTTTTACAGATGAAAGTCAAGGAATTCAGTGTGTTGCCATGTGTTGCCTTGTTGCACCTGATTGGTCTCTCCACCGTGGCCCCCGAGCGAGCTTGAGAGCTTGAGAGCAATGAGATAACCTAGCTCGGATGTGGGACACCCAACCTAGAAATAGGCAGAGCACCCGAGCTCATGATCCTCATGTTGGGTTAAAATATGCCGAAACAATCCGAAACATATCAATAGAATATATAAACTGTATGCAACAATAAAGGAGACTGTGAGTCAGGGGGTCCGCTGTTGCACCCTGCACAGCCATGTTTTGTCCTCCGAACCGTCCCGCGCTGTCCCGCGCTGTCCCGGACGGACGGGGGCGGCCGCGGCCGCGTGTCACCTGGTGCCGCGTGTCCCGAGGGAAAGACCAGGGGCGCGCCTGGATCGCCGCCGAGGAGCTGCCGTGCGAGATTCGAGATGCAGCCTTGCAACATCAGAAGCCAAGATGCATCAGAAGATGGGCGTCGTGATTTTGAGACAAATCTCAGAATCTCTCAAAGAAACCAAAAAAGTAATCTCCATATCCATCTTTGACCGCCAATGGGTCTCACACAGATGTGGGCATGAAAGTTGTGCGGAATCTACCTGAGGACCGGTTGATTAGGGTAGTCACCGGTTGATACTGAGAGCTTGGAGGGAGATGCTTTTTCACAGGTTTTCACAGGTTGTCACAGGTCTAGTTCTGTGCATTTTGTGGAATTCTGTCA